ACCCTCCCCCCCGCCCAGTTGCCAGCGTGCTTCCTGCAATCGCTAAGATGTTCCTCGGAGGGGTCCAATTCGAGCGCTGTCCTCGCTTGACGTGCTTACGACCAGGAGCAGCCTCCTGGAAATCAATAGGCCTCTAAACAGGAAGTACCACTCCCAGCTGTAATTAGAGGCAGGCCACAATTAATGTGTGAGGCCTCGCTGGGTCACAGTATGAAGCGGCATGGCGGCAGGCCACAACGACGATCCTCAGTGAGATAATGCTCCTTCCTAGAGACAAACTAACCTCTGGTGTCGTCCCTTTTACCACTGACTGCATCACAAATCCCCAGAATTCAGGGATCCGTCTACGGTGAACAAACCTCCCTGGAAGTGTCACAAACTAAAAGCCTGATCCTTCAAAATTCTCCCCTACGAGTAACTCTTACGTCCATGAAAGATGCCCTTGAAGTCAATAGGAGGACCGATGCGAAGGGGAGTTTGCAGGACTGGGATCTAGGGCAACGAACCACCAGAAATTTTATACAAAGAACTATTTCCTACCCCCTGGGAGAAAAATGACACATTCCCCACTTTTTTTGTAGGCCCAGTGGTATCTTTCTAGCCAGGCACACACTACAGTGGAGACCATTTATAATATTTACCTCATTTACATGCACCACGGGGAAAATCAGAGTTCGGACACTTCCCGTTTCGCTGTGTAAAAAGACAACAAAGCACTGAGATTCCCAAGAGTTTCGGTTTTCTCCAGACAGATTAGAACACAGCACTCCAGGGGGAAAACTTTCTCATGTGAAAACTCCAGACTCTTATCTTTATTTCAACTTTTAACCTTCCTCTTCCCCAGATTAGGATAAGAATCAGGATCTAGAAACTGGACGTCGTCTTTGTTTATAAAGCAATAAAATACACAGGAGTTTCCTGGGACCGAGGGAGGAGAAGGATCCATGGGAAGATTTATTAATAGCCGACCTAACAGAAAGTTTGCACCAGGGAATGGGAACACCAAGCCGAGTGGTTGCTGAAGGTCTGTACACAGACACAGATGCTGTTATAAGAGACACACTTGCCTGGTATTACAGAGCAGTTATGTTAATAGTGTCAGCAATACTGGGACAGATGGTGTTTTATGTGATGCATCTCCGAGGTGTTAGAAAGTGCAGTAAGGCAGATATGAGGAAATGTCTTAGGATCCAGGCCCTCAAAGGATCTGTGCTGATCAGATGCCACCCTTTACATATTTTAAAGTGCCTTGTACATACAAGCTCATGTGGGAACTTTAAAAGTGTCAGGTTGAAAAAATGAATGGGTGTTCGTGTAACGTTTTTAAATAGCTCCTGCTACCATGCTGACACCAATCTGACCTCATCAGCTGGGACTGGGTTTGCCATGTGTTGTGGCAGAAATTATGGCTGTGTGTGGGTACATGTGCATGCCTGTGACAGTGTCTCTCTTATAACTAACATAAGGACAGGCAGTCAGATCCTCAATTGATGTCAATCAGCAAAGTGCAGCTCTATTGGCTTCATGGAAATCAAGCCACGAGTCCAGTCTGGTTCTTTGTCACATCCTGCGTTTCACATTTATAGAGCCCTGCAAATCTGCGGGTATCCACTAAACATTACGTTTAACTGGTTGACCAATTAAACAGGATCCTACATCCCTAATGCAGATACAAATTTTGCACCTAGAACCCTGCAAATTTGAGAATATCCGCTTTATATCCATGGGTATCGGCATATACAAATGTGGATGCGGATATCCGTGGCTCATTTTGGTGGATACAGATGCAGATAGAAAATTCCGTATCCACGCAGGGCTCTACACATTTAGGCTTTTGCAGGTTGAAAAATCTGTTCCGAAAACTTAGTAAGGCCACTTTACTTTGCGATGACTCACACCTGAGTTTTCAGGCTGCTGAAATTACTAGAGATTCTCCGTGTGAATGCAAAATGAGGAGAAGGAACTACCCCTGTCATTTTCTAGATCAGATCCTATTGGACTCTGAACTCCTCCTTACAAATAGTATTTCCCAAAATGACTCTGCAGACAAAGTCACTTCAAATACGAAATCAGACAAGCAATCCTGAAATCTCTGCTGCTAGAGATGAATACTTACATGAATCCATCTAGATGTCTGACGAGAACATTGATCTGCAATCGCTTGGCTGCTTGTACAAGTATCCCTGTCAGCTGTGAAAGAAAGGGAAACTTTAGAGTAAAAAAATTATCATGATTTTTTTAAGGTATGAGTTCAGCCCAATCTTTACAGTGGGATGGATTTGTTTTTCAGATGATAAAACAGCACATCTACTAATTAAGATGGAACTGGATGGGTTTCCTACCTCTTTATAGGAGGGGTAGGTAGATGCATGCAAGGGGATTATTTTTATTTGTATCCATCCATATATTTAAATGACTCTCATTACTATAACACCTGAGTGTCTCTGTATTAACATGGCACCTAGAGGCTCCAATTGAGAGTTGATTACCACCACCCTGAAAGGCATGGCACACAAAAGTAAGGACAGCTCCTGTCCCAGTGTAAACAGATAAGATAGGCAAGGTTGGGGAAAAGGAAGTGCTATTATCCCCATTTTACAGGTGGGAAAACTGAGCCAGAGAGAGATTAAACAAACAGGGCTCAGGTGACACAAGAAGTCTATGGCACAGTGGGAAATTGAACCTAGAGTCTTTGTGCCTTAATCGTAAATCAAATTGCTAATACAATCCAAGATAGAGTGAGTGATGAATCTGGCTGCAATGCCACTAAAAAGACCTATGCAAAACATTATTCCATAAGTTGCAATAATAATTATAAATGCTGCAACGAATGGCATGGGGGGAGGAAGGGGAGGAGATTTTTAAGTGTACAGGTGCCAAAATTTAGCTTTAATTTTTGGGCGAGGCAGGGATTCGTTCATAGTACTGTCAAATCACATAATGAGAAAGAATTGTGCAAGAAGAGATTGGGCAATCAGGAACTCTTGGGCACTAAGAGTTTGGATTCTGAACTGCACGTGTACTAGTGCTCAGAAAGGAGCTGCTCTTGCTGAAGCAGAAAGACATTGTACCTCAGAGCATCCTGAGTCAGATTACGGTGTGTTCCTTTATCATTACGCTGGCCACTCTTTTGTTCTTTCCCCGCATTCTGTTTTGTATTTTTATCATTCCGTTCTCTGCTTTACTCCTTCACATTTTCACCTCCAAGCCACTGCTCTGTGGTGTGGATTTACGGAAGAGTACCCCTATTTTTAAACCTACGGACCGATACCTTCAATAACGATACAAATGCTCTGCCAGATTCAGTGGTCAACTCCAGCCACCTTGTATCTCTTCTGGGATGCAAAATAGCTGTGAATCTAGCTAACAGCTCTGTGACCAGGGCCAGCTACTACTTGGGCTTCTTGACATCCAGGGATGAATGCAGAGCCTCCATCTTGACATTTTTGGACAGTCTGACTGGATTTAACCTCTTGAGGGGTACGACTGGCCTCCAGTCTCCTGGATTTTTGAACCTGATGTAGATGGAGATTTCACTTCCGCTTTTTCAAAGGGAACTGGGAGAGGGCTTTGGGGAACCCAAGATGAAAGGTGGAGCCTGCAGACTGCTCATTGCTCTACAAGCCAGGAAGTGAGACAGAAGAAAACCAAGTGAAGAGCAAGGGGGCTGCCTCAGAATGCTATCGAGTAACCAGAGTCTCTGAGGGAAAACACCAGCTGAATAGAAACCATCTCCGCCCTTCTCAGGCTAAAAGAAATCCTGTCCCATACAAAGGGAAGATTTCCTGCCAAAACCTGTCCCCGAGGAGGCTGCTGAGTGTGCGTGGGTTTGTAGGAAAGCTTGAGATATCGCTAATCGCAAAATGATCCTTTTGGGGACTGAAAACTGTGGAATTTGGAGCACAATTCTCCTGGAGTTTGAAGTGGCAAGCGCCTCTCTAAGGAAGTCTTGCTGGAGTGTGTCTCTGCCTTCTCTGGACAAAATTGTGTCTTGGGGTTCACCACCATGAGCTAGGCAACTGATAATGAGGAGGAGAGAGCTGGTTACAGTGTGTAGAGAGGAGCTTGCGAGATCAGGGATGAAGCCGGTATAAACACTATGAAACCATATGGCCTGACAATATCTAACTCATCACATTCATGGCTTCACAGATGCCATCATATATAAACTGGATGCTTACAGCGATACGATTTAAGGACTCAGTTTTGAATGAATAGCAACTGGATCAGGTCTTAATATCTTCCTTCCTCCCTTGTCTAGGGAGTGTATTCTACAAGTCCATATCTTTGGGGAAGTTTTGGATTTACACAAGCGACACTCCAAGCTCACAGACCAATACTGAGGCTCTTATATTGCTTGTTTGGGGGAGAGTTTGGATTTCTCTCTCAAGGGTTTGGTATCCACAGGACAGGAAGACCGTGTCACACACTCTAGTCCTTACAGGGCAGAGGTTGCAGCTTTCATTTCTGCACTTTATCTCTTAAAGGGCGAATCAAATACAGTACCCTGCAAGTCATATCAGAGGGATGCGTGTACTTACAGGATTGATGTCCAGAAATGTTTCATGATCCTCCTTTCTGGGATGCATGCCCTGAATGTCCTTAATATACTTCTCATCTGCCTGGTAAAAATGCGGGGCTGATAAAAATATTGGGGCACCTGCAATGTCAGAAACTGAAGTCACCATTTGCTAAAGACAACAATGCATCAGACCCTTACCCACCCAGCCAATCAGTGTGGTCAAGAACAAAAATAAGATGCTTCCCACACAACATGAAACAACAAAGGTAAGCATCATCCTTGTACATTCCCAGAACCCAGCAATAAATTACTGAAGAAAACTGGTTTCTTCCAGACCCCATTCACTTCATTGGGAGCACTTTATATGAGGCAGCATATCTGGGTAGACAGGGCATTGAACCAGGACTCAGGAAACCAGAGTTTTATTTCTGGCCCTGCAACTGACTTGCCAGATGTCCATGGGCAACTTACTTCACCTCTCTATTAATTTCCCACGTATGAAATGGGAATAGCATAAAAGCTCGTTGTGAAGTGCTGTGAGATCTACTGATGAAAAAAAGGATGATATAAAAGCTGGGTATTGTTATTATATTTGTATGGGCTACCAACATAACAAATTACGACCTGTATCCTACCTCAGCTCTTACACTCTCCTCACTTCAGTCATCAAGTGCCTTACAGTAGTACATTAAGCAATGTGACTTGTAGTTAGTTCTCCCCCAAGAGTTAGGTCCTGGTCCAACAAAACACTTGGGCACACAGATAGCCCCACTGAAAGCAAAAGAGTCACGTGCCTTGACACTAGCTAGGGACCTGGCCCTTGGCACGATCCATGCTGTGAACCCACACTGCCTCTCGGAGGGGTCAGTCATGTCTTCGTGTGGTTACCAAGGGTCCCGTGCGTGCGCTAAGCACCTGAGCAGTCTCATCGAAGGGATTACAAATGTTCTGCGAGGACTGTTTTATTCCCAACACAGACTGGGCCAAAGGACATTCTGAAGAAGCATCACTGCACTCTTCATGCCAACAGAGCAAACCTTCACCGCGCATGTACAGAAAGCACAGACCCCAGCACAAAGTGTGACTGCCACATACTGACGGGAGAAGTGACATTTACCCAAGCAGCAGCTGTCCCAAGGCCAGCCCACTCTGACTCCTAAGGAGCACACCTGAGCACGGGGAAGGGATAGCTCAGTGGTTTGAGCATTAGCTGTTAAAACCCAGGGTTGTGAGTTCAATCCTTGAGAGAGCCATTTAGGGATCTGGGGCAAATGTGTCAGGGATGGTACAATAAAACTCCAATGGTCCAGCACCATCTGGAACCTGGAAGTGCTCCAGGCAGCTGGATAATTGGGAGCTGCTCTGCCCCCGGCTTCCCTGAGTCAGCTGCTGGTCAGTTTCAGCAGCGGCTGACTTGGGGATGCCTAGGGCAGAGCAGCTGGGGTGCTGCCGGGTTGGTCCTGCAGTACGAAGGGGTGCATCCACCACAGATCCCCTTCCTATAGCCCAGCATATCTGATAATCCGGCACCTGGCACCCCCTGGGTCCTAAAGGTGCCAGATTATCAGAAGTCTACTGTATCTAGCCTTGCCATGAGGGCAGGGGACTGGACTCAATGACCTCTCAAGTTCCCTTCCAGCTCTATGAGATGGTATATCTCCTTATATTATAAGGAGATATACCTCGTCCTGCAGCAGGCTGTTTTCCAGGAGAACAAAAAGAACAAAAAGTGGCTAGGAGCGATTAAGCTCGATCAGAGAGACGGAAGCTGAGCACGGGGATGGAACATGCTGGGAAGGCCTGCGAGACCGGACGGATTTGAACATTTTATTTTGAGTATGTTGTGTTGCGCTATGTTAATATGCAGGAGGTTAAAAGGTCGGAGCTGGGAAGCCAGAGCCTGAAGGCTGAGCTCCAGCTAGGAAGGGCTGGGAGTAGCTTGCCAAAGCAGGGAAGACCCTGGACCGCAAGAGATTTGGGGCCGTGCCCAATTTAATGCAGGAGGTCAGGCTCTTGTGTTCAATTTTCACAACGTGAGGTAATAAACCAGACCCCGGGGAAAGCTGTTGCCGGATTTGTAAAAGCGTTTTTCGACCACTGAGGAACCGGGAGGGAACCAGAGGTGAGGAGCTGCTGGTTGTCTTGAGGCCATAAGGGGGTCACCAGAGCAGGGCTACTCACTGGCAGACCCCATCCTCACAGAGGGGAAATTCACCCAGTGCAGCCAGCAGGAGGCCTAGGGCTAATGTGGCATGTAGGCCCTATCCTGAATTTTGCCCACGACAGAGTGATTGTGCTGTGTAGAGAGTGGCTAGTGGTGACCCGTCCAACTCCTAGGACGCGCGCCAGACTCCAGCCTTTCAATGACGTCAAGTAGAACTCGAGCAGGTGGTATCTGCTAGTTCAGACCAGCTTTCTCCCCGACGGCCGCCTTTTAATCAACGCGGGGCTCGACTCAGACTCTCTCCGCTCCCGATGACGTCATGTAGCGCCGAGAGGCCTTGCCGCCGGACAGCCTCATGCCAACTGCCCCCCACGCATTTTAGCTAAAAGTGACCATGTGTTCCCCGCACACCTGGGCTACCTACCTTGCTTGCAGGCGCTGACGTTCAGGACACCCGAGCCGTGGCAGTTTCCCGCGGGCACACAGAATCCTGCATTGTCTGGGTTCACTGACACATTGGCAAACACCATGGGAGGGGGCACAAAGCGATAGGCAGAGATTCCAGAGACACTCACATAGCTATCAAAAGTCACATACAGCGATCTGGGGGGAAGAAAAGCAAGAATCCGAATTGGCATGCACAAAGACTTACACGCCTACATTGCACATCCCTCCCAGTGGCATCTGCCTTGCCCGTTTGGATTTACAGCAAGCTGAGGGCAGGACCCAAAGCCCACTGCAGTCAACAGATGCCTTGCCACTAATTAAGTGGCCTTCTTCATCGCATCACCTAGAGGTGTTTAAGTCTCGGCTTGACAAAGCCCTGGCCAGGTTGATTTAGTTGGGATTGGTCCTGCCTAGAGCAGGGGGCTGGACTTGATGACCTTCTGAGGTCTCTTCCAGTTCTATGGTTCTATGATCTGACCTCTCCTGCACAGACAATGTTCCTTTTGGGGGCTGGACTCTGTGACTTCCTGAGGTCTCTTCCAGCCCTAGGAGTTCATGAATTACAGTGACCTTTGGATCAGCTCTTGCTGTAGTGCTGCATGAAAAGGGTGAGCCTTTAAAATAAAAGGGAGGTTTGGGGATCCGGATGCCCGGCCTCAGAAGGATCTCTCAACTCCTCGCAAGTCTATCTTGTCAGCCAAAAGATTTTCAGTGGTGCTGCACCTGTGTGCGCCACAGACCTCCCAACCATGATAGCAACAATGAAAAAAAATGCATGGGGGAGATAGTACCAGCAGGCCACAAAAAGGGCCTTTGAACTCTCCGTATTGTCTGGATTCATCTTCTCTTCCTGCTTTAAAAAGATAATTTCATGTCAAGTTTGTGTTCAAATGAGATACCTAGGAGGGAAGGAGGCTAATAGGTAGAATGACAAGAAAACAAAAATCTCCCATGTGTCTAGACATGACATCACAGAAAGATGCATTCTGAAATGTCTTTAGCAAACTAGGAAGTGCACGCGGATTTCACAAAGGGAGAGAAGTTTCAAGTATGTGGTATGCTCAGGCTGGCTCTTCTCATCCTGCTGAGTTAGGGTCTATAGGGTTGCCAGATACTTAAAAAAAAAACATGGCAGAAAAAAGTTGTTGAGAAAAAAAAAAAACCAGCACAAATCCCCATGCTCACTGTTTCTCCCTTTTCCCCTCTTGCCCCCCAGACATGGCAGAGGGGGAATGTCCCAAGTGGCCTTCTGTCCGAGAAAAACAGAAATAAATGTCCGGTATTTTCTGTTTGTTTTTTTTTACTGGATAGAGGCCATCAATACCGGACGCCTGGCAACCCTAGTTAGGGAACTCACTCCCAGTGGTTAGTAGTTTAACAAGCTCTATTCCTGTGTCCTTTATGAATTCACACTAACCAGTGGTTTATTAGGTGATGAGCTTTCATGGGCCAGACCCACTTCCTCAGATCAAATTGTGGAAGAAAATTGGTTGTGCCAATTTTCTTCCACAATTTGATCTGAGGAAGTGGGTCTGGCCCATGAAAGCTCATCACCTAATAAACCACTGGTTAGTGTGAATTCATAAAGGACACAGGAATAGAGCTTGTTAAACATATCATTAAGGGGAAAAGATCTCAGCCGAAGCCTCAGAAGCGCCCAGTGTGAACCGTTTGATATGTTATGCTTGGAATTCCTCTCCTTACCTGCAGAAGTCAGAAGAAAAGACATAGATAGTTTCATCTGTGCTTATCAATGGGTGGAAAGTACTCCCATCTGTCCCATTGATCATATTACATGACTCTGTGGTCCACCAGTCCAGCGACCTGCAGGAAATGAAGCGGAGAGATGGAACGAAAGGGCCATAGGATTATTATAGAGCAATGGTGAGTTAATACCGCATGGCTAGCGAGGGTAGGAAAGGGAGGGTCTGTCTCTCAATCCCACACTGCAATTGGAGCTAGCTTGGCTACAGCAACAAAGACACGGTGGCACAGGCTTCACAGCGCAGGGCAGGAATGGGAGTACGCCTGCCGGTATCTAGGTGGGCTTTTACAACCCATACTGGGGCCTACGCCATTGTGGCTTGACTACTATTTTTAGCTGTGCTAGCTAGATTCAAGCTAATCCACCTATGTCTAGCTGCTATGTAATCAAAGCTCCGAGCGCAGAGCGGACTTACCCTTAGTGCAACCGGCAGTGCGTGCGGGGCTTAAGGTGCACGCAAATTACACTAACACTCCCTTTACGCTGGGGCCTTAGTGTAACTGAAAATCTGGCTCCAAGTATATTACTTAAGCAAAAAGTTGCTGGCAAGCATTTTAATTAGCAGCGTGGCATTTTGAGTTATTCACTTTGGGCTTGTTTATAAGCCATACCACGTGCGGAGCAACTGTATAGGGAACTCCGATCTCTAGACTTACTGGGAGTGGATGCAGAGCAACAGGCAAGGCTATTTACTCAGAACAGCTAGGAATGGACTGAGCTTTGCCCTAGAGCAAGCTTGGGCTAAATACGGCCCGCAGGCCACCAAGCCACCGGATCTAGCCTGCGGAGGCAGCAGGGAGTCCCAGACAGGCTCACCATCTTGCCCCATGCAACGGGCAGAAACACGGGCTCCGTTTCTGTTTTGGAACTGGAGGGGAGTGGGGAAGTTTTAGGAGCCGCCCTGCCCCCGGCATATTCCCATTGGCCAGTTTCTGGCAGAAACCGGCCAATGGGAGCTGCTTGTTAGAACAATAGGCAGCTAAGAAGAATCAGGCTTCCTCTCCTGGGCTCAGTTATTGATGAAGCCCATGGCCACACAAGCAAGCTGGCTGGGAAATATTTTAAGCTCTGCAGGCGGGCTGGCTAATTTGGCAGCGGGCAAGTAAGTCTCTTGGCCACAGCCTGCTTCTGGCACCCCAGCCCTTTCCTGCCCCAACTCTCTGCGCCTCCGAAAGAGGAGGCTTTTCCGCCTAGACAGGGCCAAATAGCGAAAAAGCCTCTTCCAGAAAAACAATCAGAAAAAGCTACGCAAATTGTGGAGTGCAATGTGTGTAGCTTTTTCCGAATCAACCCAATAGTGTAGACCTAGCCTTAGACTCCCCCACAGCGGTATTTGAAGACCGTGGCATATCGTCTGCCCCCTGTGGTATCCGAATGCTATTGCGTACAGCCTCCATCAGCGTCACATCTGAAATGCCAGCAGCCATAACATCCCCCAAGGAGGGAGCAATGTATCTGGGGATGGGAGGCATAGCCACAATCCAGCTCCCTTTCTGCCTCAGCTGGGGGGCCCCAGGGCAATGGTGGAGAGAGTGGATTTGGCATCCATGTAAAGGGTTGAATAGTTGTTTTGCTCCCTCAGCACCCTTCAGGTGCATTCAGCCTGCCTCTGTCCTCTACAGGCAAAGGCTACCTGCTTGAGAGCTGGGGGGTTTTGAGATGGGCAGAGAGCTGCTTCTGGCTTCTTTGGAAACCACTGGTGCTCATCAGAAATGACCAGAGGAAGTTAGATGAGACTGTGGGAAACTTCTGAGAACTCACTCTTTTCCTCTCCACTGCACAATCTTCGAGAAGTTAAGGTAGTTCTTCTTCCCACTGAGAACCACATACTCGCCGTCATCCGTTCCGTTCATCTAGAAACACAGAAGAGTTTGTCTCCACAGTGCCAGTCCATTCACTCCCCAGGGCGGGGGTAGGGAAACTAAGGCCCAGGGGCTGGATGCGGCTCCTGAGGCGTGGTGCTCCACACCCACAGCACTGGGGAGGCTGTGCTGGTGCTACACCCCCCACATCTCTCACCACACAGCTAGAGCACACATCATCTACTAGCCTGGGTCGCCCCAGGCTCTGGTGTGCGAGCTGTCTTTCTCCTTCTCAGGGCCAACTCAGTGACAGTTTGGGTTGTTTTTTTGGCTTGGGGTTTTTTGGTTGGTTTTTTTTTGCTTCTCACTGATGTGTGGGCCTCCAACTGATTTTTCTGTGGGTCAGTGGCCCGCTGGGGTTGCCAGGTGTCCGGTATTCACCTGGACAGTCCAGTATTTTTGCCTCCCGTCCAGTAAAAAAATTCAGAAAATACCAGATACCTGGGATGTGTGGTATTTTCTGATTTTTTCCCCGGCCAGGAGGCGAAAATGCCAGGTACCTGGCAATCCTACAACCACTCAGCACCCATCCTCCCCCCCACCCTGAGCCCCCC